GTTATCTACGTGTGCTTTGGAAGCATGGTGCTCAACTGTACAAGGTTGCCATGGGACTCGAAGCTTCTAGACATCCATTCATTTGGGTTGTTCGTATAGACAAAAATGATGAAGAAATGACAAAGTGGTTACCAAAAAGATATGAAGCCAGAATCAAAGGTAAGGGCCTAATTGTAAGAAGGTGGGCCCCGCAAGTGTTGATACTTGATCATGAAGCTGTTGGAGATTTCGTGACTCATTGTGGGTGGAATTCGACGCTGGAAGGTGTGTGTGTTGGGGTGCCAATGATGACATGACCGCTATTTGCCAAGCAATTCTTGAATGAAAAGTTGGTGACTGAGATTTTAAGAATTGGGGTTGAGGTTGGTGTTGACGAATGGGTCCGATTCATGCATGAAGGAGTGAAGAGAAACACGATAGAGAAGGCCGTGAAGCGTGTAATGGTGCGGGAAGAATCTGAGCAAATGGGAAACAGAGCAGAGGCCTTGAGGGAGATGGCAAAAAAGGTTGTTGAAGACGGTGGATCTTCTTACTCTGATTTGAATGCTTTAATTGGAGAATTAAAGGAAAAAGGACCGAAATAGTAAGTAACAATACCCAAGTATTATGCTGGGCTAAACATTCATTTATTGTCATGAGATTCAAAACCTCTACATATGATAATTATTTCTTACATTATTGTGGAAAGATAATAATATCTCATGTAAATGATAAACGTGGTTTGACTGTTATCTCTGGTGCCTTTGGATTCCCCTCTACATCTCTTTTAACAGTTGTTGCTTGACGCCATGTTTATAGAGTTTCTGTTTTGAAGTCCACAAATCTTTCTGTCTTTCAATTTTTCCCTCAAGCTTTATGATCTTCACTTTCGATAATGTCTTCTTATATAGAACTTGGATCTTGGATTTGACATAAATGTTCCAAATATTGTGCATATTTTTTTATTGTCAGATAGAGAATATAATCTCTTATCTCTTTCACTCCCATGGGATTTGTATGTATTTTTGTAGTTTAATGTGTACGATTAGGCCACAAGATCATTCCTAATAGTCCTAAGGGTGCTCAAGTGATAACAGAGATGATTTGCACACTCAGATATTCTAAATTCAAATCTTGACAATCGAAGAAGAAATTAATCAAGATGTGCATAAATTGGCATAGACATTCCTAACGTTTAAACCAAAAAAAAAAAGAAAAGAAAGGACCACTCTTAATTTGTGACACAACAATGTTGAAGTAAACACAAATTATCAGGAACAAATAAAAGTATGATTTACAATGGGCCAGCAACCCTGTCCATGACCCGTCATTGAGCATAGTTAGGCTAGTCCACCCAAAGAAAATACGGTCCAAAACTACCGCCGGTCCCACCCTAATCAGTGTTTAGTGGACTAACAATCGGACTATTCTTAACGGGCCAATATTTTAATATCTTGACATTTGACAAGCTGGTGGGCCGGGACACGAGGACTTCTTGGTGGTTTGGGACAAGCAAATCATCTGATCGAGATTGGTAAAAAGGCAAGGCCTTACCCAATGGGCTTTATGACTACCACGTGGTTGGATGGTCCAGCCCATGACCAATGTTTGGGAGAGAAACCACCGATTGATTGGATAACAATTCGAATTTTCTTGTTGAGATCTTAATTTTGGCCCCGACATAAGTGTTGTGGGCTCTTTTACATATAGTTGTGTGATGTTGAGCGATAATATTCTTTAACAGATATGTGGAATGATCTGTTTACATATCTATTTTATCAAAAAAAAAAAAAAATTCTTTTTAACCCAAATCTGCAATCCAATTTTGCATCCTAAATTAAAGAAGATCATTGGATCAGTGGGTCCTATTTAAAAAAGTTGATGAGACCTACTCATTCAATGATCCCCTTTTATTTTGAATGCAAATTTTGATTACAGATTTGGGTTACACAGTGTTTCTAAAAAAAAACAAGAATGATGTGAGAGAATGAAATTGATACTCTCAAAAGGCATTTGTCGACAAAAAGCAAACCCCTTATACTATATCCACTTCGAACCCCCAACACCAAGCATTATGAGCAGCTTTGCTGAGAATAAGTAGCATGGTGTTTGGGAAAAGCATACCTTGATTAACTTAAAATAAATGGTGAATAGATAATAGCAAAGAACATTGGTCATATGGGAAGGGACTAATACACTTTTGCCTCCCATTACTCCAATTTCAATTCAAAACAATTTTTTTGGTTTCCATATGCATATCTAAAGTAGATCCCATTGTTGGTTGTCAATAAAGGCAGGCTTACCACCCTTGGAAAACCATAGTTTTTGGGTATAATTCTTTATTAAAATACGAGCTATAGATAATATTTATGATAAAATATATCAATGGTTATGAGTGTTTGAGTTAGTTTATGCGTGTCTCAATTAATCTCTTCAGTCCGGTCAAAGACAAGTCATTCACTTTAGAACTAGGGTATTTATGAAAGATAAATCTATTATATCTCAGTCCCAAGGAATTATCAAGATTCAAACTTAAGACGTCTAAGTTCATAACTCGCCTTCATTATCACTTGAATTACCTGAGCGGTATTTGAAGTATGTGTTTAATCTCATTTTGGTTTATGAACTTCCAAATGTATTATGTTGGCTTTTTAAATTTTTTTATTTGTTTTAAATGTTCATTATGCTTTGTCTAAATAATTAAGAGAAGCGGACACATGAATATTATCATTGTCAAAAAAATACATAGCCCTTTTTTCAGTCATTTAGATGCAAGTAAACGACTGGGCTATTCAAAACAATTTTTTCCATGGTAGATTATACGAATTTTCATATGTCTGAACATTATTTCTTGAGTATAAATTTTACGATTTGCTCTTCTTGTGTATGCTTTTCTTATTGTTAAGTAGGGGTTTTGATCAAACCAAGCCAAATATAAATTGAACTTAAATATTTGTTGTATTCAACGTTGTCTGTCTTAAGCCAAAATAAAAGAAAACGGTTACCAATTACGTTAAGTAGTCGACGACCAATGTAAAATTTTGTTGACTCCACCGCTACCATGATATGTATGGTGCACTCCTTTGACTTCTTAAGTCCCTATTTGATTCAAAACACCTACAACTTTGTCGATGCATATTCAAGTTCAAATAGTCTTGAGCTTTTGCCAAAGTGATTTGTCCTGTCTGTCCTCTCTCTGCTGTTAGACTACCAAACTAAAATGGCCGTTAAATGCGGGAGTGGATGCTTGTCATTTCCTTAACGACCATCACTAGCTCCTCCTTGGCTCCTTTCAAACACAACATCATTTCGGAGTTTGATTACAGTTAAGGGTGCTAATAGTGTCCAGTCTAATTGGATTCTTGTGAAATATTATTCAACTTGTACACGATTTATTTAATTGAGCGGTGAAAATTTACGAACCAAGCACAATTCGTTTAATAAACAAGTTACACGACAACTTGTTTAATAATTTATATTATTATTATAATATTAAAAATAATTATTAAACTTTATATATTATTTTGACTATTTTTTTGAATAATTATTAATTTATTATTATATTAATTTTATTTAAACGAGTTGATATATCTCACACAAACATAACTTATTTATTAAACAGGTTTACCCGTTAAGACCTCACCGAAACCCGCTTAATATCGTGTCGATTAATTGTGTCATATCGCATTTTGACCGACCTAATTATAATACCCAAAAAAAAAAAATTGATATCATATTATTTATTGTTGTTTTGGGTGTATTTATACTAATTTTTGGGTCAAACTTGTCAACGTTTGGAATGCCTACACCTTTGGATATTTTTTTTTGTTGCAGCAAACCATTCGGGTTCAAAATGAGACTTGTTTCCTCCATATGAGATAAATGGTTGTGATGCGTAAGTATGGGTCTAAATCCACTATAGCTAACGTAATTGTTTTTTTTTTTGACAAATCTTTCTGATGATAGATCGTTCATTGTATATTGGTATAAGATTTACACTCGAATTCGTTGTATCTCATCTAGAATTAAAAAAACGTTCCAAAAAAGAATTCGCCCCATATATGAGAATTTTCTTAGACGTTTCTTTTTGACTAACAAAAGGAATAAATGGCTTTTATAATTAAGAAAAGAAATAAGATAAATACAGAAGTATATGGTAGTGTTTTCATTTTGTACCATTTGGAAAATGAAATCAGGTGGAACATTAACAAATTGGTTGCTTGAAAAGCCAAAGGTAGTGAATTTGGGACTTGAATGTTATTTCTTCTTTTGGTAAGAACAAGAGGGAATTCTAGGACAGCTTCAAGTACACATGTGAAATGAAAATCCTAGCCAAGGTTTCCTTTTTTGTTCCTAGTAGGAGAGAAATTAATACCCAATTCAATATCATCTTTTCTTTCTTTTTTATTTTTAGGGTAGGAATGGGAATGAATTCTATCTTATCATTTTAACTTTTACAATGATCAACCATTCATTTGTAGTATACTTGCTAATTATAAATATCACTTACCTATTAACAACAAAAACAAGTATGTAATAATAGAAAAAATATTAAAACTGTAATAATTACATGACATTATCATTATCATTCAATACTATAGAAGCGAGATCTTAAAACTTGGCTCGATTATAAACATTTAAGATAGCAACAACACTACACATCATTAAATGTCAAGTACCAAAACCCCCCGGGCCGGGGGGAGGGTTCTATCTACACCTCCTCATATTTAAGGCCATCCTCGCTCCTAACTTGACCACTAAATCCCACCACCGATTTTCCGCAATAATTTGCTCCCCATTTTTGGTCTCTTTCACTAAAAAAAGTCCTTCCAGGCTCACATAAACGTCCATGGTGTTTAATACACAACAGTAAACATTAAACAGTCAGCCAAATAAATTGACACGAAAACGACGTCGTCTTAATCTCCGGCCAGACGGTCACTAAAAGTCTAAAACCCTTTATTTCCCGGTCCCACAACCTCGCCTAATTTGGGCCCACATCATATCAATGTGAAATCATTCCATTAAGTATTTAGTACAGTACTACTCAGATCACCTTGTTACTCGTGCCACTCACTCAATCTCTCTCTCTCTCTCTCAGATAAAGAAAGGGACAGATCTGGGTTAAGATCTGTTCAGTCGCTTGAAATTTTTTGTTTTGGGTCTGAGAAATGAAGACCAGCACAAAGTTCATAGTCCTCCACCCTTCAATCCACAAGCAAGGAGGAACAACCTCTCACCGTACATGGCTTCTGATTTTCTTTTTCTTCTTCACTTTTGCTTTTGCTCTGACACTCCTCACCACCAGAGACGCAATTCCCACCACCAGAACTACCACCTCCGCCACCTCCAAGTCCCCACTTCCCAAGCCCGTCTTCGACGCCCTCCTCCACTACGTTTCCGTCTCCTCCAACTCCAGCGAAGCCTCCGGCATTTCATCGGCAGAGCTCAACTCCATCGCCGCCGTGCTCCGCCGCTGCTCCACCCCATGTAACTTCCTTATTTTCGGATTAACCCACGAGACCCTCCTCTGGAACTCACTCAACCACAACGGACGTACAGTCTTCGTCGACGAAAGCGCATATTTAGTGTCAAAGCTCGAAGAAAAACACCCAGAAATCGAAGCTTACGACGTTCAATTCACAACCAAAGTGAGTGATATGTACGAACTATTAGAGTACTCCAGAGACCAACTTCGGAATGAGTGTAAGCCCGTACAGAACCTCTTGTTCTCCGACTGCAAGTTAGCCATTAATGACCTACCAAACCACATCTACGACGTCGCATGGGATGTGATTCTGGTGGATGGGCCTCGTGGGTATTTTGCCGGAGCTCCGGGAAGAATGCCGGCGATATTCACCGCCGGCGTACTGGCAAGGAGCAAAAGAGGAGGTGGGGACAAGACCCATGTGTTTGTTCATGAGATTGAGAGAGAGGTGGAGAGAGTGAGCAGTGATGAGTTCTTGTGCAGAGAGAATTTAGTGGAGACCAAGCACTTGTTAGGCCATTTTGTGGTGGAGAAAATGGAGGCTAATAGGTTTGAGTTTTGCCCAGAGGGTGAAGAAGAAGAATCATCGTCACCATCTTCAAAATCATCACTTTCAGATGATTGATTATGATCATATTTGTGATTACAATTATTATACATGTTACTCCTTTTTCTTTTTGGTGAGGGCTTTTATTTTGTTTTTTTTTTTTTAGTTTAAAGTTTTGGGATATTAATGTCAATTTATGCGTATCTCAATTAATTCTCTTTCTGATCCAATTAAAAACAAGTCATTCATACTAAAATTAAAAATTCATGAGAGGTATTTCAATGAGATTTTTTGTTGTTTTTGGGGGGTAGAGTATAATTTTTTAAGTTCCAAAGGGTGTAAACTGTTTAATACTCTTAAGGGTCAATTATTACACATCAAAGTCTTGGAGTCTCATGTTGATGAGATTTTTGATTACATATGAAAGTTTTGGAATCTCATATGGTAGGTTTTTCTCTTGGGTTAAAACTGTTATGGTAACATTCAAATAAGAGTTTCGCCCCGTTAATGTTACATAATTTAAATAAAATTTAAAAATTATAATTTAAATACATATTATTTTTTAGATGAGTTGGTCTCATCAATATTTCAGTGATATACATTTAAGTTATAATTTTTAAATTTTATTTAAGTTGTGCGGTATTTTTTTTATAAAAAGAGAATAAAAAGAAGTGACAAAATGACAGGACATTATCGTAACCAACTAAATTTGAATTTCAAATGTATAAAAAGTGAAATCAACGGCGCTATTATATTAATATCACATCATTTAATTTATATTTTTTATCTTTTTTTTTTGTCGATCGAACATTACTCTTTAGACAAAGATGACAAAAACTCCAAATTAAGAGAATTTGAATCTTAGTTTAGATGCATTTGTTATTACTCCAAATAAGAGTAATGTGAACGGTCAGGAGTCTTATAATTTCACTATTGAGGACCTATCGGAGTGGTATTTGAGCGCTCTCTTTAGTGCCCAATTCTTTTTTTTGCGCACAAAAAAAAGAGAAAAAAAGATGCATATGTTATGGCAGGTTCTTAATAAAAAAAAATGGGAGGAAAACTAGGATTTAATTTTGGCCTCTTTTCCTTCAGCCTAGCTAGGAAACCTCACGAATTTATGGTTGGTATTTCAAAATTTTGTTATCAACCAAACAAGAGGAGGATAAAGAGCCATGAGTCCATGACACCGAAAGGCGAGTGTCGGTGGAAGAAGATAGACTAGAACTGGTGTGGAAAGGCAAGAAGAATGTGTGTGAAATGGAATGTTGTTTTAGCTTTGGGAGAATTATATCTAAATTTCTTAAAATTTATCACTTAAATATTCAGAATTTTTGATATTTTAAATATTATACACAAATCCTTTGAAATTTATACGCGTATAACACTTAGACATCTACCGTCAAATGTCTGTTAATAAATTACACCCAGATTCCCTAAAGTTTGTAAGTGTATAATACTTAAATCTCTCAAGTTTAAAATATTATATTTAGATCAAAATTTTTTTAATTAAATATAAAATATAAAATATTTAAATTTTATAACTAAAATTCATGTTATATTATATTATTTGTTGAAATAAAATTAAAAATAAAAAGTTAAATTTTTTCTTAAAAATTTGTAATTAGTATACAATTATACTATCTATTGGAATAAAACTAAAAAATCAAATAAGAGATTTAAGTCATTCATAATAGAACATGAAATTTATAACAAAAATTCATGTTCTATTATGTCATTTATTGAAATAAAATATTTAATTTTTTCTTAAAAAATTATAATTAATAAAAAATTATACTATCTATTAAAATAAAACTAAAAAATCAAATAAGGGGTTGAACTATAATAAAAATAATATATTCTAACTTTAATCGGGATAATTTGACGACCAAATTAAATTCTAATATATAGTATGTATAATAATTATGATTTTTTTAAGAAAAAATATACTTTTATTTTTAATTTTATTTCAATAAATGTCATAATAGAGCATGAATTTTGATTGTAAAATTTAAAATATTTGATATTTTATCTTTGTTTGTTGTATTTTTTTGTCTAAATATAATATTTTAAACTTGAAATATCTAAATATTATACGCCTACAAATTTCAGGGAGTCTGAATATAATTTACTAACGAATATACTAAGGGCAGATGTCTAAATGTTACGCACGTAGAAATTTCAGGGAGTTTGTGTGTAATATTTGAAATGTCAAGAAATTTGAGTGATTAAGTGACAAACTTTAGAAAGTTCGAATGTTTGAATGTAATTCTCCATTTCTTTTTAAGTATCCTTTCAACAATGTATTCAAGTACAAGTATTTTTTTTAAGACACTATTACAAGGAGTTATTTATTATAAATCAGCAAAATTCAAAATTTATTATAGATTTGAGGGACTTTTGAACTTATTTATCAAATTATAATACTTTTTAAAAACATATTCAACAATCCTATTTTTGTTATACAGTAGATTCGATATCTCCATTTTTGTTAGAAAACAGAGTCAACAAAAAATTTGTGACCAATAGGTGACGTTTTTTACTCTTTTCATCTACGATCACCGCAATTACTGATTGAATTTTATATTTAAAAGTGCGATTATTGGCTTTGCTTTCAAACAAAAGCAGAATTGTTGACTTCACTTTTAAAAAATATAATAGTTCAAAAGTGCAGTAGATCGATAATAAGATTTAAAAATTGCTGAATTATGTTGAATTAATTCCTATTACAGGGAGGAGGACAATGAAATTTAAACTTGTGACTTGGAGGTCCAACAAAGAAGACGGTGGTTATTAAGCCGACCTCTAACCTCCTCTCCATCTCACTTTACCACTAAAATTATTAAATTTCTCACTTTATATTTTTAATACATTAAAATAATTTTACATTATCCCAGACACAATTTAACTTTATCTTTTATGAGGCAAATGTGCACTTGCTGGATTAAAATGAACCAAAATCACATAATTCATAAGTAAAGTGTGACTACTTTCCATCAAAGTGGAAATTATACTAATTATTAAGACAATTTGAAAATAGTAACTTGTAATTTGTAAAACATATGGGTGAAGTGCAATGTCAATTCTAAAAAATAAGGGAAGAATGTGTGACATGAACAGAACCAAACTATAACTTGCTCCTATAATTAAGTTCATTTTTTATTGGTTTGGACTAATACCTTATTCGGTCCGATCATGGAGGTCATTCACTTTGGTATTAAGATTAATCATGAGAGATAAATTTGTCGTAGTCTGACCTCAAAGGGTTGTCAAAATTCGAACCCAGAACATTTGAATTTATAATTCATTTTTATTAACACGTGAACTAACACTTAGGTGCCCTATAATTAAGTTCCTCAGGCCATGTATATATATTCAAAAACAATCACATTTTATTGTGATTTCACCAAATTAAATGATAATTTTTACTATTTATTTAATTATAACCCTTGATATAATACACACAAAAAAAAAAAAAAGAATTATCCCACCTTGCCCTGTTTAATAAAATTGGCAAGGATTGGTGTTGATAGGTTTTTTTTTTTTTATGAACATATATAAGAAGATACATGCATACATACATGTTGTAGAATAACGCGTGGTAAACAATTGCAAGAAGTAGAAAAACAATAAATTAAAAGGAAGAAAATAGATCGCTAGACAAAGTGCGGTACTTGCTATCTTCAACATAGTAATTTCTCCACTTATAATGTAAATTGACTCTTAAAAGTTCTACCTTCAATATATAATATCTAACTTTAAGATTATCAAAGATTACCGTCCTTATTAATCAAGAACCAATATGGGATGCTTGAATTTATCCACCAACTCACAACTTCAAATGTTTGGAAGAAAGCGTGAAAATTTCATTTTTCTACCAAATCTTAATGCACAAATAATATAAGTACTTGATGTAGATTATATACATACTCATAGATATGTATCTAATGAGACTAATGTTTATGTTATTACATGTAAATGATGTTACACTATTTAATATATATATCATTATTAGTAAATAATTATATATATATTAACAATAAACACAAGGGTGTCGGTGGGTTTTATTCCTGAATCCGGTCACGTGAAAAAATTTGTACGTTACGTTGATAAATCATGTCGCATGATAGAATTCAACATCACGAGACCTCCAGCGTATCTTTGGTGAATCTCATATTGGTTAGCCTGGGCCCTCTGCTTTCTAGGCATAGTTGAGCCCACTAAATGTGGGGCTTTGTTTAAATCAGAAGACTGATGTTTGAAGATGAGCCAAGCTTGAATATAGGGTTTGCAATAGCCAATGCGTTACGAATGGTGTGTTATTCACTTAAAAAAAAGGGTATTTTTTGGCCTTTTGACTTATCAAAAGAATTTTCAACAACAAAAAAAAAAAAATAGTGTTTGAGATTACTTATTAAAAGTAATTTTAAAAATGTTAAAATCATTTTACTACTTCAATAAATCCAAAAATAAAAGTTAAAAAATAAGGTTTTTACTTATCTAAAATCACTACTGTCAATCACTTTTTATCTTTATTTTTTTCTTCCTCACCATCGCAGCTCTCTCCATACCTTCTGATGTGAACGACTGAAGGATATCTTCCACTTTGGCAACCATCGATGACGATGCCGGAGAGTTAGGTGATCACCGACAACCGTGACAACACTGTTCTCTCTTCGATCTTCATTCTTCTGGAGTATATTTGATAGATTTGCCTCTCTTCTCTATTCATTTCTTAATTTACTCTTTTGGGAACCCTAGTTAATGGATTGTTCATTCCTATAATCTGCTTGATAAAATATCTCTTAGAAAATTTAGATTTGATCTATGCTTATGTGTTGGCCCATTGCCTTTCTTGTTTGGGTATGACAAGCCGGTTGAGCTTACCCACATTGCTTGGAGTCAATGGCTTCTCAAACATGGCTTTTTTGGTATTTTCTGTGTCTGGTATTGGTCTTCTTGTTTTTCTTGATTGAGGGTTTCTCTGTCATCTGTGAGCTGTTTGAAGTACTACTGCCACAAAAGGCATGATGTAATAACCAAAATTCATATCAAATTCCAAGACAAATATCTCAAATTACTACAAATTTCATTTGGGTGGAGAAACAATAAGCACAAACGTTGGTTAAGATATTGATGTCGAAGGAAGATTTGTTCCCTAGCTTACATTCTCACATCAAACATTATATTCTCATGTTGACATTCAATGTTATCCAACACCGTGTATTTTATTTTTGTGTTAGTTTTTAAACTTACCATACACCATGTATGGAGCCTAAATTCTAATGGGTAACTGGTGCAGCAAAAAGAGAAATATTTATTCAGATGACCGGAGGAGCTCCATGCTTGTTAAAATATCTTTCCATACGAAGGGATAATGACATGGTTTTCACATTTAAATATGTGCTTAATATCAAAGATAGCTATGAACACTTCGGTGCTTGATGTTATGTTATGATTTCATGTTTTATCTATTATTTTATTCGTTCCTTTATCTATGATTTCGTACTCATTTTTAAATTGCATATTGCTTAGTTCCTATTCAATTTTTATTCATGTTGATTTGATTGTTATCATTGCTGTTAGTTCTTATGATACTCGGAATGATTTTCGGGTAGAAACTCGAGAACAGAGGTCAAACATGAAAGTCAGGTATGTTGAGTTCAGAAAGTTAAAACTACGCAAAGCTCAGAAAATCAGAGTTAGAGCTCCTTTCAAGCGAGATAATAAATTGAAGCAATGAGGAAGCAAATTGGATACTACAAAGAACTCTATAGGCGGTTTGAAGTAACACTCAAGACACAAAATTCTCAACCAACCAAGATACTCTCCTAAGATCATGGAGAATTCCTCAGATAGATGACGAGGATCACAGATCAGATCCCATAGATTAAGGGTCACCCCTATAAATACCATGTAACGCCCCCATCAGAAGGGGGGACTGAATGACCAAAAACCTATTCTGTAAACCTTTGGTATGATCAATAAAGAAAAAGGAGTCATAGCCTCCATTGAAGAGTGGATTAGCCGAGCTCCCTAATTGATGAACCACTATATTTTCTCTCTGTTAATCCTTTAATTCTCGGAGAACCTTAAACACCATTCCCTGGAGCCAAGTGGCTCAGATGGTAATAATTAGAATATTGCTTATCCCATTGACTCATTACCACAAAACTGTTTTGTCATTGATTTGCACCATCAGTTTGACGCCGTCTATGGACAACGACTATTCCTGTTATAAATAAAATGATATTTCAGTGACTGATGGTATCAATACGAAACATAAGCCGAAGTCAGACAAATTCACCACGGATTCAAGATCAACAAGAAACTACTAATAGCAGACAAACTGAGAACATCCAAGAGACCAATCCACCCGTGGGGGGTCTCCCCATGAATAACGAGATGGAGGCCCTTCGCCTCGTCAATCAACGCTTGCTGAAACAAAACGAAGAACTCTTAAAGCTTTTACAACCCCATAGGAGGCGCGACAGGCTCAAAAGGGCCAGAACAACCCACCACCTAGAGAGCAACCACACCTCGACCTCCTCAGAGAAGTCAATGAAGAAAGAAAAAATAGCCAAACTATGGGGCCAGAACCTCGCATACCCCCCAGGAATGAACACAACAAAGAAGTACAAAGTCGGAATGACGAGAGCGAGTGTAACGATTTTTTCCCCTATCAACAAGAAAGGAGAGAACGATACTAGGAGCAGCGCTTCCAGAGTATCCAGCAAGAACTCAGTCACATGAAGGAAGCCGTGAGAGGCAAGACTCCAGTTATGATGGATGCCTTGGTACAACAGACTAAATCTCCGTTCACCACTAGCGTGCTGCATTTTCCCTCCCTCTGAAATTCAGAGTACCGCATATAGAGGCTTTTAATGGAACAAAGGATCCCGTAAATCACCTCAACACTTACAAGAACCAGATGGAGTTGCATGGGTACCAGGACCTAGTGCGCTGCAGAGCCTTTGCCATCACACTGAAAGGCTCAGCCTTGACGTGGTTCAATAGGCTCCCCCCTATCTCAATTTCCTCCTATAAGGAGCTATTTACATCCTTTGTATCTCACTTCATAGGAGCTCGAACGTACAAAAAGCCGAGTTATCACCTGTTGAATGTAAAGCTGTTGAATGTCGAGCTCGAACGTACACTTCACGATGAACTCTTAAGTTCATAAAAATGAGTTCAATTGCTCACGATGAACTCTTAAGTTCATGAAAACGAGCTCAGTAACTCAAGATGAACTCCTAAGTTCATGAAAACGAGCTCAATAGCTCACGATGAACTCTTAAATCCATAAAAACGAGCTCAGAAGCTCACGATGAACTCTTAAGCTCAAAAAATGAGTTCAATAACTCACGATGAACTCCTAAGTTTATGAGAACGAGTTCAGTAGCTCACAATAAACTCCTAAGTTCATAGGAATGAGCTCAGAAGCTCACGATAAACCCTTAAGTTCATAAAAATGAGCTCAGTAGCTCTCGATGAACTCCTAAGTTCATCACAACGAGCTCGGCCACCTATGGTGGGGAGTTTAAGAAAAAAAACTCTTTCAGAAGAAGTTGCATAACCATGAGGTCTACAAGTCCAACATCCTGAAAAATTCAGACATTTCCCAAGTCCAGAATTGAACTCGGCAGCCTTATTCCCACTAAAGATAAAGCTGTGCCAGACACCCCTAAGCCTTCAAGAATAAGATCGCTTTAAGCTCCATGCCTTTTAGTTCACCACAACCTAAGCTCGGCTGCATAAACCTACAGAATCGCCAAAGCCAGCATGAATTTTTCGCGCTCTTGCTACGGTTAAACGATCCTCTTCGGATAATTCGTCCAACCCAAGGATAGCTATAATATCCTGAAGTTCTTTGTAACGTTGCAAAGTTTGCTTAACCTTTTGCGCAGTTTCATAATGTTCCTCACCAACGATCCGAGGTTTTAGCATAGTTGACGTTGAATCTAAAGGATCTACTGCTGGATAGATACCTTTGGCAGCTAATCCTCTTGATAGTACGGTAGTAACACCTAAATGTGCAAATGTCGTAGCAGGGGCAGAGTCGGTCAAATCATCTGCAGGTATATAAACTGCTTGAATAGAAGTTATGGAACCTTCTTTGGTAGAAGTGATAATGCAGGGAACAGCTGGTGATGAGATTTACCACTTACTCTCATCCAATAAGCTCAAGTATGAAACTCCCAAAGCATTCTTGCTTCAGGAAGAGCTTAACACTTCTTAAAGCAAGGGGAACAAAGGAAGACTAAAGTAAAAACGCACAGCTAGGGCACATTTGAAGTCGCTGATTGAGAAGCTATTACTATTACATCCTAAGTTCAGCCCTTGCCCAAGCCAGCTCGGTCAAGAGTTGGGGGGCAATTGATGATACTCAGGATGATTCCCAAGCAGGAGCTCGGGAACGGAGGTCAAACATGGAGGTCTGGTATGCTGAGCTCAGAAAGTCAGAGCTATGTAGAGCTCAGAAAATCAGAGATAGAACTCCTCTCAAGCGAGATAATAAATTGAAGCAATGAGGAAGCAATTGGATACTACAAAGAACTCTACTGGCGGTTTGAAGTAACACTCAAGGCACAAAATCCTCAACCAACCAAGATATTCTCCTAAGATCAATGAGAATTCCTCGGATAGATGGTGAGGATCACAGATTAGATCCCATAGATTAAGGGTCACCCTTATAAATACCATGTAACACCCCCATCAAAATGGGGGACCGGATGACCAAAAACCTATTCTGTAAACCTTTGGTATGATCAATTAAAAAAAAGAAGTCATAGCCTCCATTGAAGAGTGGATTAGCCGAGCTCCCTAGTCGGTGAACCACTATATTTTCTCTGTGTTAATCATTCAATTCTCGGAGAACCTTAAGCATCATTCCCTGGAGCCAAGTGGCTCAAACGTTAATAATCAGAATATTGCTTATCCCATTGACTCATTACCACAAAACTGTTTCGCCATTGATTTGCACCATCAAGTTCTATTGTTAAACTTAATCATTTGCCATAAAAATTCGTAAGTTTTAAATAAAAATTCTAATCATATCCACTAAGATTAGCAATGGACCCTGAACTATGGACCATGTCATTGCTCTCACAAGTGGATGGTTATCCATAGGTTATAGCATATGTTGAACTTTTTTCGATCTTGTCTTTAATGCTAATTAGAAGATATTTAGGCTTCTTACATTAAAAAGATTTCAATTCAATGTGCTAATCCTTCTGAAGTGGTGTTCAGGATTAGTTTTCGTGTTTTCATGTCATTTTTTGGATTTTGTCCATATTTTTATATCTTTCTTCTTCTTGACTTTGTTATTAGCCAAAAGTAAAAAATCAATCATATGTGCATTATTTTGTTTCTAGATCAAGATGCTATCTACGAAGGACTCGATGACAATTTGAGTGCATAATTTACAAATTATGATGTGATAATTTGAATGTATTCGAACATTGTTGAACAATGTCATTAATTTTACTATTTTGATCTTTATTTTATATATATTCTTGATAACTTACTTTGTTTACTTTCTCGATCTTTATTAAAAATGTAGTTCAGATCAATTGTATTATCAAAATCATTATTTTTGCGCTGATACGTCAAATTTTTAACTCGTAACCGCATATTGTAATGCACAAAAATTAACTTATGTAGCTTCTTCTTTGCCAATCAGTTGTGAAGTTTTATATAAATTAGCGACCATGTACTCTAATTTTTTTCACACCCTTATGGTGAATAGGGATAACAGTGGACTGGATAAAAATGGGTATTCGTCTAAACTTGTCTCGTTTGGACCGGAGATGAACCATACATATTGGACGGTGGGCGTATACGAAAATACTCGTATAAACCCGTGTAAGAATAAAGAAGGGGATGAACTGACACTTAACCCCGCCCTGCCTCGGCCTGCCCCGCTTTATCTGTTATTATTATTATTATTATTTCATATATATATATATACAAATTTACATATTATTGAATGATTTTTTTTTTTGAAAATTGTTTTGTTTTTTAATTTTTTTTTATGTTTTTGGCATGTAAGAGCGTAGATTTTTATATTTTTATATGTTAGATTATGTTATGTTACATTATGGTGTGTTGCATGATATTGTGTTGAATTTACAAGAGAGATAAACTATTATGTTGGATTATGTTGTAGACAAGATTTTAATTATATTATGTTGTAAATGACATACTTTTAATTATGTTATGATATTCTATAATTATTTTAGAATATTAGACTTATTTAGAATTTTGAATTATATTGACTTAGGCTTGGGAGAGTAAGGTGGGCGGGGGTGGGGGTGGGGGTGGAGGTGAAGGCGGGGGACGGGGCAGGGGCGGGGATTACAAATTTACCCGCGGACAGGAGCGGAGATAAAAATTATATCCGTTAACGAGGGTGAATCGGAGATGGATGAAATTTTTTTAAGCGGGTATGAGGATGGAGACTACACCCCAGACCCCCGCTTCGGTCCATTGTCATCCCTAATGATGAACATGTTTCACTTAAAACTTTGATTGCAATTTCTTGTAGATGGAGAGCTTTTTCACTATAATTGATCCACCATTCAATTACAAAAAAAAATGTACGTTATTAGTATTTGTGATTGTGAGTAACAAATGATATTTTAATAAATACATATAGTTTAAATAATACATCTAGAAGTGAGGCATGTATAACTTTCTTAGTGAGTGCATTCCCAAACTTGTCATGTTTGTCAGTATATAATTTTGATTTGCAATTTATTGTGTAATATGTTACATATGCGACCAACATATATACATATTATAATAATAATTATCAAAAATTGTCATACCTTATTGATTGTCGTTGCTTATTTATTCAAATTTGGTTCCAATTTTTTAATAATCTTTTTCAAACCAAATCTTACCTTAGGATGGTCGAAAAATTGATTTGAATACTGAAAAACTGGATTTAAGAAATAAGCAACAAAATTTTTGACAATTTAATGTAAGTTAGTGGAATACTATAATATTTTACAAGCTAATACACAATGAAATATTTATATTTTTAAATACTTTTACTTGTTGCATGCAAGTTTCTGTGCAATTGAATTTCCCATCTTTTTTCAATCACGACTCAATATTTCTTCTAATTTTTCACCGAATATTGTACGGCTAGTTTAGCCCTGTCCATTGTTTCATAGACAATTGATAAAGTTGATTTTTTGTCTTGATCAACTATCTTTAAGACCCTAATAAGAGGCTTCATGACAGATTAAACTTTTCTGGCCTTCTTCCAAAATTGGTCAATCAAAATAAGGTTTGAGATTATATCTCTTGTTTGTTTTTCCTTTTCTTGTCTTTGTTGAACTCACGTCATTTATCGGTAGTGTACATTCTTTTCAAGTCCAATTTATAATGGATAAGACTTTCAATGATGATGAATTCAATGGCAAATCTTGTTATACCTGACCTCAATAAATCTGTCTCTTGTATATTGTTTCATTAAGTTCACGACTTTGAGACTGTTGTAGATAAAAGATGTGGTCGTCTTAGCATTATTTATGGTCTCCTTGATTGCTTTCATATGACCAATATCGTCTAGCATCAAATTGATACAATGGGTTGTACAAGAGGATCAAAATAGATGTTTTTTTTTATCCATCAACATCTTACCGGCTGCTTGAAAGATTGCCTCATTGTCGGTTACTATACGTACTACATTTTCTTCTCTAACTTCATTAACAACTTTATTCATAAGAAAGAAAATATAGTCAATAGTTTTTGAAATGTTGGTGATATTAACTGAAGTATGGTAAATCATACTACGGTCGTAATAAATCATGAAATTAATAATGAGCTTCTTTGTTCTAGAACTCCACGCTTCAGACATGATTGTGCAACCACTTTGAGGTCATTTTACCTTCATCGAGGATATATACACTTCAAGCTCTTGAACCTCATTCTACAAATAAGAGCTACCAATTTGATATCCTATGGGACCCTTTATTCTTGGGCTTGCATCCACAATAGTGTCAATCATTGACTGATAGTAAGACCCACTATCAACTGTATTAAATTGTATAGCATTGAAGAGAAAAAACTTCGAAATAGTTTTTCCCACTTTTTTCAGATTCTTACCTGAGAACATGCCTTTTACTGACTTTTGTTTAGACGGGAATATGTACGGATCAGTGTCACTTACACGCACGCTGACACCTTCTTTTACATTATAACTACGTGGTGATCCGCACTTGATTCCTGAACCATATGGTTGTGATGATCCAACACCAAAAGAATGACCCTTATTAGAAGGACTGATTGCATTTGATACAGAGTGCTTACGATCCTCTTCCCCCATCCAAGCCATTTGTCAGCTTTCCTTCATTGCCTACTTTAACTGTCATCTTTCAAAACCATCCTCTTCAATTTGATTTTCACCATCATTATCTAGGTTGTAAAAATCTTCATCTCATAATAATTGTATAATTCATTCTTTTTTCTTATTTACAGAAGCTCTTTCTGAGATGTTGTCTCAAGATTTGTGACACTTCTTTTGGTGCACGTGGACATCCTTCACCTAACCGAATACATGTGCAATATGTTGTTTCATTCGAGTAATACTGCCATGAACTATTTTTCCACAATAATTGCATTTTGTAATTTTCGATCACTACCAATAGATGTTGCGTGTTCTCAACTAATGTTGTGTTGTTTAAGAGCCATTCTACAATGTCACAAATTTTAAATAATTAAATAAGTAACATGCAATTGATTAATTTAAAAATTCCAAAATGATGTAGTTCTATTTTTCTTCCTTATATTTTAGTTTTTCTCTTATAATTTTTTTGATTATTAAAAAACAATACTTGAAATATTTATTCAATAAATAAGTAATTTAAATATAAAACTAATGCAATTGTAACATTTAATTTTACATAAATTGAAATATAACAGATATCCCCTCATTATATTGAATTAAAAAAATACTAATTTTTAATTATTATTATAAAATATTAATGTATTTAATTATTATATTAAAGATTTTAATAATTGATGAAAGCTAAACTCAAAAATCAATTACCCATAAAAAATAAATTAATCACACTAAAACATAATCAATTATTCATATTTGTTCATTGAGACTTTTTTTACCCAAAAAAAAAAAACAGACTTCTTGGAGGATATAAGAATCGAAACTATGATTTTCGGATTGATAACTTGCAACTCTACCCATTGACCTACTATTTTTATATAATTTTAAAGATAAATATAAATATTTAAAGACTTAGTCAAAAAAAAGGGCTTCAGACTATGTCTGTCTCAGTCGCGACAAGAGAGAAGGGCAAACAAAGAGAAATCCAGAAGTCCAGCGCTCTCTCACTAAGAGAGAGAACCAACGCCGACAAAAAGAGAGATCCACTCACCACCATCGGCGATTCTTTGCCTATCGTCACAGTAAAGGAGAAAGAAGAACCGAAGAAGATTGTCACAGAAAAGGAGAAAAAAGAAATGAAAAAGAAAAACAGAAAAGGAAGATATAGATCCTATTTGGTTTGATCTACAGGTATGTCGTAAATTCTTAGTCTTCTTGGTTTTTATAGTTGAAAAAGAGGGGCCTAAATTACAAATTTAGGGTTAATTTTCACATAGGTTTTTGATGAGAGTAGTACACTGGTAGTGAGTGTTTGATTCCTTACTTTATTTCCCATTTTTTTTTTTGGACTTTGTTTAATTTTCTAGAATGATCGGGTGATTTTTAGGCTTTTACAAATGTGGGTCTTGGATTTTTATTCTTTGTCTCGGATTTTAGGGAATTTTTCACTGCCTTGTTCGTCTCGAAATGATTTCGATAGGAATCACCCGAATTGAACCGAGATATCACTAAGTACTACTGATTTCGGCCGAGAAGTACGAGTTAAACTGAGATATCGCCGATATTGATTCAATGCATGATTTTTCTGATTCACGTGTCATTATCATATTGAGAGTGGCCGAGTCAAATACTTTGAACCATGACATGGAGGCCTCAATAATAGATTCCAATTGGACCCAAATATGAATATACACCCACAAAAATAAGCATAAAACAACATATAATAATATGACTTTATGAGCATGGAGACACAAATGAAATTAATTTTAGAAGGAGGAATATAAGTAATGAACAAACTATGGCTATGACAGTGGCCATAGTTTGTATTGATAAATTTGTATTGATCTGCAAAAATTATATAAATAAGGTCGTGGTCAACTTCCTGGTTATTATGAGCAAACAAACTATAAAAATAAGAGTTGGGATGCATCCATTTCTGGGCTGTATGTCTATTGGAGCCAGAATCCTTAAATTTGAGGAACATTAATCTTGAATATACTATGTTAAATACCGCCTTCTAGATTGTAAGTGGATCTTTGTATTCATTCTTGAAGAACTTTTGGTTCCTCACTGTCCGCAAGATATAAACTATGGCAGTCAGACTTCACTTTCCAGATGGTATTTTCCATCTGTTTTCCTTTCCACTTCGTAGCTGTGAGTTTAACAACATATGGAAACTAGTATAAATATGAATAAGTTTAAAGATGAAAAGTCAATGCTCCATGGCCACGTGGTCTGTCATTTTCCTTTTGAAGATCAATGACAGTGGAATTTTTGCAGATCAATACAAGTTCATCCAAATACCCCCATATGATATACAGAACTTGGGCTGGTTAAAGTGTCTACTGGAAAACTATCAGTAAAGTTATGATGAAAACAATGCAAATTATAACACACCAATGCCTAAAGAGCTTTTGGGCATTTCATCAAACACGTTGTAGGCATGTCAAAACTAGTCTTTTAGCCAAAAAAATTGTATAATTCAAGTAATTCAATATCCAATTCAAGAAAAACAAAGGTAATGCTAACAGAGAGGTAGAAAAGGCAAAAAAAAAACAAGAGAGTGGGGTATTTGGTGTGTAATAGTTTACATTGTTTTGATCATATCTTTACTGATTATTTTTTCGGTAGATACAACACGTGTATAACCACCGAAATTTTTACACGTGCTGCGTCTTTCTATTGATTATTGGGTAACATTGAATGTCAACATGAGAATATAATGTTTGATTTCAGAATGTAAGCTAGGGAACAAATCTTCCTTCGACATCAATATCTTAACCAACGTTTGTGCTTATTGTTTCTCCACCCAAATGAAATCTGTAGTAATTTGAGCTATTTGTCTTCGAATTTGATATGAATTTTGGTTATTACATCATGCCTTTTGTGGCAGTAGCACTTCAAACAGCTCACAGATGATAGAGAAACCCTCAACCAAGAAAAGCAAGAAGACCAATACCAGACAGAGAAAATACCAAAAAAGCCATGTTTGGAGTCAATGTGGGTAAGCTCAACCGGCTTGTCATGCCCAAACAAGAAAGGCAATGGACCAACACACAAGTACAAATCAAATTTAAATTTTCTAAGAGACATTTTATCAAACAGATTATAGGAATGAGCAAAAGGATGCAGGCGTAATATTTCAAATGTGGGGTCTAGATGATTAGGTGACAAACATGAGGAGATCTACGTGTAATTTATTCATTTAATTTTAAATGACAAATTGACGGTTGTTAGTTTCAGATGCACATTAATACGAATTTTTATATTTGAGGGTGTAAATTAAAATTTTGATATTTGAGGCTGCAAATTGAGATTCAAACGATTTTTCAGGGTGCAATTTAAGATTAACAAAAAAGAATGAGAAATAATATTCAAAAAATGTAATTAAAAATATAGAAATCTGTAAAATGTGTATTGAAAAAATGAATAGAGAAGATAAAAAATATTATTTTTTGAGTAACTAAATTAATTTTTGTTGGTAGAGATGCTCTTATAAATATGGAATTTACTGCAAGCACATCGGGGGAGACTCTAATGATCACGCTCAGGAGGGTCACTACCAGATGGTCGCCCCTCTCTCCCTATTTATCTTTCAAAAAAAAAAATATGGAATTTATTGCAATCCTAGATAAATAGCACCAACAGGTATTCTTTTGGCATGTTTGTTTCGAGGAAAAAATTTATGTGGTATAAGATTTTATATTCATTCCACTCTAATTCAATAGTATATTATATCCGATGTTAAACTATAATCTCATCATTCTCCTTATTTGTTTATCACAAATATTATTTGTGTAATACCTACTTAAAAAAGTCAACAATTGCGGCTAATCAATGTAAAAGACAATTTTAATCTTTTAAAAGTCAAAAATTGCGACTAGATTTTTATATGGGAATTATACCGGAGGGCATTTCGATCTTTTTAGTTTATAATACTTATACCAAGAATATAATATCACCCCTAGGTGGTATTCATTAAGACTTTCTACAAGACATTATGACTATTGTTTATAGCAGGTCGATATTACGACCCGAAAAATATTACTGACTATAAAATGCCAAACAAACAACGTATAAGATGAGTTCCACGTACCATTTTTCTAATACCACCTCCTTATACTACTCTAATACTCAAAACAAACGGCCCCTTGATGACAAGTGACTCGGTCATGTACTGAGAAACATCTATAATATAGTAAAATACAACATAAATTACAGCAATGACCCAGATCATTTATATTGTATGAAACTACTTATATTTTTCTTCTTCTTCTTCTTCTTCTTCTTTTTTTTGGGGGGGGGGGGAGGGGGGCATAGGAATAGCATGATATCAATGACTAATGAGATTGTTGATTGCACCATCAATGAGCAAACAAATATCCATGATGTAAATACTTTATGGGCTCGTTTGGTAGATGTATTAATCGTATACTTATTATATTTTTTTATATGATAGACCTGTATTATGGAGATATTATAATACCACCATGAGAAGTGATATTATAATCCAATTCAAATATATTATTGTTCACATTTACTATTATAACCCCACAACTGATAATATCAAATTGTTATCAAAATTAATTAAGGATATTTTTATTAATTCAATATTAATACGATGAAATAATTTTCTAACCAAACAATGGGTTAGACTAAATAACTATTATCTAACGTTTATGTTGTGTTTGTCAAATACTTGATAAAATTACGTATTATTCTAATACCTTATTTAATTTTGTATTTTATCTATTTGTATTGTATTAGATTGAATTCTTTTATTTAATCCATCAATTTCTAATACGACAACCAAACGTGCCCTATTTGTATACAACATATGTTCCAACTAAAACCACAAAAGTGTGAGATGTGATGTTCAATTATCAACATGATGTTTTCTTGGGCATAAAGCAGGCAGTGGAATAGAATATACCAATAATTGAGCATAGAGTAATTATTGAAATGAGTATTGATCAAGTAATTATCAATTAATC